TTGACAACTTTTTGAATATCTTCAAAGATACATTGCAGTCAGCAGGGACTGCCATATCAATAAGGAGGCATCGTTTTTGTCTGTGGTCTTTAATAACAATATCTGGCCGGTTGGCCTTGATTGTTTTGTCAGTGTGTATTATGAAGCCCCATAGAATTGTAACAGGTCCTATCTCCGTAACCGATTATTATTATTATTATTATTATTATTTATCGGTCATGTCTATGTATGTAGTGTAGTTGTTAGCGTTTTAGAAAGAAAAATATATGACTCGGATTCGAAATTCGTCCGAGTTTCTTATCTTCACTTTCGCCAAAACAAGAAAAAAAATCACCTTGGGAAAGACATCACTTCAACTCCCTCCAGGTATGATTTAAATTATGGCTGGCAGGGCTTTCTTGTCTTGAGTTCGCACCTCCAGGTATGATTTAAATTATGGCTTTCTTGTTTTGAGTTCGCAACCAATCTCGGAGAACTGTGTTCAAAACCACCCTGAACAGGGATTTATTCTATCAAGTCATCGCTAGTCACATCACTGCTGCTATGACTGTCTAATCCACCTGAGGTCATTTTAAATCTCTAGGCTTACAACGCAACAATTAATTGAATTACTTAGGTATTCAGGACATTTAATTAAAATAGCTGATGCTGGTTTACACATGCGCAGAACGAACCGAATTTCATTCTAACTGCACAGATCAGTGATATATTTCAGCAAATAGGCTTTTAGATTCAAGTTAGTATTTATTTTATACATCAATAAAATATGAACTGATTAATAAAGCTTATTTTCTGAATTATAAAACTGATCTGCGCAGTTAGGATGAAAGACAGTTTGTTGCGCGCATATGTACAAGTAAGTATTTGAATGTCTTAGATATCAACGTCTCCAGTTCATATGTGGGTTATAAGTTCCGTTAAAGAAAATAATCCATGTTCTGATTTAATTTCAAAGTTAATACTCAGAATGTCTATGCTTTGTTTTTGTCAATGAACGATGAAAATTTCTCACTAAGTTGAGGACAAGATTTGAAATCCTGAGTTTTTTCCGTTTTTTTTTATTTTGTTTAAAACAAAAATTATTAAATTTATATTTAAAATGAACAAAAAAAAAAAGATTGCAAGAAACTCTGAGTAGTTGACGTTGGATGTTATGTATATTCACTAACATAATATATATATATATATATATATATATATATATATATATATATATCGATTTTTCATCTGATGAAGCCTAAGAAAAGGCGAAACGCGTAATGACGTCTAGTTCTAATGAAACAGTTTTACATTTGTTATATTTTTCCTAAATCTTGTCGGGATTCTGTAATCTATTTTATACAAACACGCACACACACATGTATACATATACATACAAACACACACACACACACACACACACACACACATATATATATATATATATATATATATATATATATATATATATATATATATATAAAATTATTTTCAGATAGTGTTTCTGTAAATGAAAAAATGATTAAAAAAAAACAAGAAAAACTGTTCGTAGTCGACGCGTTTCGTCCTCTGAGGGACTTCATCAGGGGAAATGTAAGATTTATTTTGTTGCACGTGTTTATATACAAAAGAAAATCTATCATTTGTTTATCAAGGCTTTTAAGTTTACGCTGAAGTCAATAGCGTGGAGTGACATGTTTCATGCTTGGACACAATTTTCATGTATTTTAATGACTGAAGATAGCGTTGTGGCATAACTGCCACCACTGTGTTCTGACCCCCAGAGTCCACTTTTATTTTTACATAGGCTCTATACCTGATATTTAGCGATTTTACCCATAAATATAGCATACTTTTAATATATATATATATATATATATATATATATATATAATTATATATATATATATATATATATATATATATATATATATATATATATATATATATATATATAAGAGAGAGAGAGAGAGAGAGAGAGAGAAAGTGTTCTGAATGCTTATGCCTTTGCAATTTCGTTAGATTTCTAAGCAGAAACGAACCGAGATAAAATAGTGCTATTATCTTGTTTTTACGAACCTATAACTGATTAGTGTCAGTGGAAAAAAAGAACCGTCGTTCAGGTTTCAGTATCTCTAATCCAATTTCGCACTATTGTAACTTATTCTCGCTCTTTCTCATTCTTTCTCGCTCTTTCTCGCACTTTTTCGTTAATGTGCTGACTCTTTCTATTATTATTATTATTTCACTTTTTTCTTCAGTATCCGCAGCCAGATTTGCTTTCTTAAGACGAAACTATTACAGCATGACGTTCATGTGTCTTTTTTTATAAGCACTAGACGTGAAAAGACGCCCTTAATACCTTCGTCTCTCAGTTCATTGGAGTTCTAAAAAAACAAATTCCGATCCCATATTCCCGATCTAATTCACGTAAATATCGCTATGCACATCTGTTGTTGGCCTTGTATCAAAGTTAGCCAGTTTTAGTAAATAAATTCTTTAAAATAAGCATGAAAATCAGTTTTCGGTTCGCATGTAAATGAAATCAATGAATAAATTCGGGAATGTATAACTTTTCCCTGTTCTCTGTCCTTTCTGCAGACTTTTCAAAAGTTATCGACCTTGAAATTCTGAGCACATGCCAAGTTCTTCTTGATTCTCCATACTAGTTTTACCAGTTTCATAATACTACATTTTTTTTTTGCAATCCACACAGTATTTAGTACTGTTGAAGTTATTGCTAACATTTTTGACGAAATTTACAAACTCTGTTTCGTTCAATTTCGCAAACCAAGCAATGGAATTTGAATAAACTGATTTATTTGGAAAAATAGTTCACAGACCCTCTACTTCGCGCCTTAATTTCTTTAATTTAATTTAATTTTATAGGAATTCATGGTAAATAATATTTTTTAAGACAAAATTCTTGTTTTTCCTTTTTCAACAGCGAATAATAAATTCTTAGGATTTCTTACTCTTGAGTATGCAACATACAACTATCCATGCGTAAATATCTATCTCTGAAACCAAATTCCAACTTTTTGAAATTGGCCTTGTGATTTGTTTATAGTTATCGCAAACGCAGGGCGAACTGGAAACTGAATTCCTGTATATATACAAAGTTAATGAAAAGATACGCAAAAAAATTATTGCATTTTCATTTAATAAGTATTTGTTATTTTTAATTATTACATTGGGAGTGTTTTGTATGTTAAATAATAAAAAAATTAATTTAAAAATTCAATAATCTACGCATTCTATTAAAACCAACTGTACTTTGTACCCCACTTACCTGTTTGCACTTCTCCCCTGAATTCACCGAATTTATATAGAAATTAGTTGATATGGAGGTATTCAAACCATTTCTCTTGGGCGTCTGTTTAAGTTGTCACCTTTTTTTTTCATAGAAAGAAAAAGGCATCATTATAACTATATGATCCTTTTGTTTGTTCCTTCTTTTTTTCCCCGTATATTTAAACTCCGAAACATAAGCAAAATTGTTACAATCTATCGGGGAAACATTAATGTTTCCGTTTATATTGACGCAATTACGCTATGGCGATTATCTCGTTCAAGGAATCAAATATTCGTTGCTTTATATAAACTGTTAAAATTCCCACTGACTTGACACCATCCTGGCTATGATTATAACCTACACCCGGCAGCAAGGCCTTTAGTTTTTTATTTATTTAGCTGTTTATTTATTTAGTTGTTTATTTATTTAGTTGTTTATTTATTTAGCTGTTTATTTATTTAGTTGTTTATTTATTTAGCTGTTTATTTATTTAGTTGTTTATTTATTTATTTAGTTAGTTAGTTAGTTGTTTATTTATTTAGTTGTTTATTTATTTATTTAGTTGTTTATTTATTTGGTTGTTTATTTATTTAGTTGTTTATTTATTTATTTAGTTGTTTATTTATTTAGTTAGTTGTTTATTTTTGCCACTCTCTTCCGATTTATTGCTTTCCTTCCACGTACGATCTTCAAAAATCGTCAATCAATTAACATACTAGCTTCCAAGAAAGTTGCTATATTAATGTTTTCGATGAAACTGAAAGAAAAATGATAATGTTAAAAATTGGCCCATGCCGCCTAACATAAATCGTCGCCCATTAATATGTTCAGGTATAAAATGAGATTATAATTTTAATAATTTATTTCAAACCGTATTCAATGCGTTCCATTATGAATTAATATGAAATCACGTATAATTTTTTTTAGGATGGTGAAATTTAAAATATAAATTTAGATAAAGAATTCTGCTTCCTAAAATAAAAAAAAATACTGTCAATGCGGATAAGACGGACCGATATGCCTAGTGTAGGAAACAGTTTAGTTGCTGATCACTCTATCTTCTGCTTGCCTTTAAACGCGTTAAATTCTAGTAATTATAAGCGTTTTTTTTTTCACAGTATTCAAGGCCCTAGAGCCAGTCTAGGTAGAATATACCAAACTAAGAAGTGCAGTTTATACATGAGGAAGATAACGGTTGACCCTAGATTTTAACTAGGTCTGGCTGGGGTGATCGGGGAAGCACCCACGCAAAGCAGTTGTTCGTGGGAACAAGCTACTCGAGTTGAACTTACAATTCACCAATGGAATACAAAGGTTCGATACAATGTGCGTGGCATCGTGGTTCTTAGCCGTGAAGGTTACCTCTGGTGGAATAAAGAATGTATTTCGTCTAAACCCTTTCTTTGGAAAGAGAGGTAGAGCATCGAGAGACTTGCGTCATTTCGTCCGCAGGAAAGGAGTCGTAAGGTGTAAAATGATGCCTCATCAAGGAAGATGCTTTTGGACACTATCGCGATTGGAAGGTGAGGACTGGGCAATTCCTATCAATTAATGCCAGCAGTACACCATTTTTGTCCTGACCTCGCTCTTGTAAATGTAGAGGATAGCAGGACTTAGTGGTCAGTTACAGGTGAACTGACCATCTTTTCATCATCTTTAGCAAGGAATCATATGTACGATCTCCTCTTGAGGTTTAGATTGAGTTTATTAAACATTATCGATCTGTTCGTACGATCACCGAAGTTAAGCAACGCCGAGACTAATTAGTACCTAGATAGGTGACCTTTTGGGAATACCAGGTGTTGTAAGCTTGGGTGGGTGGTTGTTGCAAATTACGACAGCTCTTAATTGGAAATCAGATAACGGAGCTCCAGTTCCCGTTGGGTTCGTTATATTCATTTACGCACAAATATCCTTCGGAAAGGCACGAACCTACCTCTTCCCTCCACAGCTATAGGCTAATTAGTAGGAATATTGTAAGAATATCATTATCGTGAAAAAAAACCTGTACAATCTAGAAATCTTTGTCTATAAATAACCTGCAATGGGTTGATAAGCCGTAAAAAAGTGATTGGATCAACAGATGTCGGAAGGATGTCGGTGAGTGAACATTTTTTTCTTTAGCAGACCTAATCTTCCATAGGAAGACATTTTTGATGTTTTGTTGAGATCCTGCCTGATTAGGTAAGAGTTATTTTGCCGGCTCATGAGTGATGGGCAGCAACACCTTATTAGGCATGTTGTCATAATGTTTTGGCTCATCAGTATATGTTGAAGAATAAAATATAAATAATTTTGGTTAAAAAAAAAGTAAATGAAACCAAACTTAATAGTTTTTAAATATTTTCATGGTTCTTTCTGATTTACACTAGCTCATTTTAACCATCAAGAAATGAAACAAACTTAGCAACAACCTGGGCAGCAACCTTAGCAATAACCTGGGAAACAACCTTAGCAACAACTTTAGCAACAACCTGAGAAACAACCTTACAACAACCTGGGCAACAATCTGAGCAACAACCCGAGCAACAACCTGAGCAACAACCTTAGCAATAACCTGAGAAACAACCTTAGCAACAACCTGAGAAACAACCTGAGCAACAACCTTAGCAACAACCTGAGAAACAACCTTAGCAACAACCTGAGCAACAACCTGAGCAACAACCTTAGCAACAACCCGGGAAACAACCTTAGCAACAACCCGAGCAACAACCTGGGCAACAACCTGGACAACAACAAACAACCCGAGCAACAACCCGAGCAACAACCTTAGCAACAACCTGGTAACAACCTTAGCAACAACCTGAGAAACAACATTAGCAACAACTTGCACAACAACATTAGCAACAACCTTAGCAACAACCTGGGCACCAACCTGGGAAAATTGCCAGAACTAATAAATAAATCTACACGAAAATATTATATCTGATACATAATCATTAGTAATATGATTAAGAAAAACAGAGGAAAATGGATGAAAAACATTTAAATTCGCTTTCCTGGCTACTCTCCATAACCAAATCGTTAAAGCTGCTGTCATTGCGAGTCGGATTTTCTAATGCGACTTCAGATCTCGACGAAGAATATCTAATATTCATACAGCTAGCTTACTCTGATGGTCGTAGAATGCAACGACCGGAACATTATAATAACAAAAATAGCATAGTAACAACTGGTTTAAACTATTTAACTGCATTAAAAATATCCGTCATTCGCATTTAAGTCATAATATTAGAATGAAAGATATTTCCGTCATCTGCTGACAATTAAAGAGAATTTAAGCCTGTCTGTATATAAATGGCCCATTCCTGGAAAATTCTCTACGAAATCATGACCAATTTGTGAAGATTCTTATTGTAAGACTTTCACCTCCCTCTTTAATGATAATTATTGTCTTCTTAATCCATAAAGGAAATAATGATCTAAAAGTGACAAGCGAGATGTTTGCCAGAAAATTCGCCCATGAAAATTCATAAGCATGGAGCGATCTGGAAGAACCGTCGCTAATTTAAAATGACTTGTAACTGTTTTAATTGGCCGTTCATCATGTAGAAACAACCAATGAAAAAGCAGCAACTGAAAATCTTATGGCGTCGAATTTACACCTGGACAGACTCAAACTAATAATCATCCATATGCATTTTTTTTAAATTTAAAAGATGTCTTTGTTTCTAAATTTATTTCTATGACTAGATGTCTGTAGAGCATTTATGAAACAAATATGTTGAACATTCATTCATTTTAATGATTAGTTACAACGGTAAATGAAGGTTTTCTTAGGTAGCCATAAACATCCGTTCCCTTAACTTTATATGGCATTAAAAGTGTTTACTTTTAAATATTGGGTTGGAACAAAAGTACATAGAGTTTTTCATTAAGTGGCGTTTGAACATGTGATTGAAATTTATGACATATATACGTATTCGGAAAGATAACATTTCGTTGAGACTTTTAATCGATTCGTGTGTAGATTCTGAATTTTAAGTGTTTATACATTCAACTGAAGAAAGTAAAATAAAGGTTGTAGAAACAGCAAAAATCTATGTGCTGTTTATTGGAGATGGTTCCGTAGCTGAGAGCGGTTTTTAATTTACAAAACTGAAAACATTCAATCAGGGCTGCAATTATTTATGCTGACAAAGCCAAAACGTCGATTAAAATAAAAACAATAAAAACAAATCAGTTTTATTGATACAGTTATTTTTACTATACACTTAAATAGCTCCATATGTTGAACATATTTATTTTCTTCAATGTTAAAATCGTTAAACAAAAATTTACCATTGTTTTTTTCTTGGCAACATTTAAAACATGTTCTCTGATATCGGAACAATCGCAATCCAATGACAATCCATAATTTTGATTGGATTTTCGTAGCGTTTTTTAAGCGGATTTTAAAGACAATATCTATATCGATTTATTCAATCACAAAAGTGCCATGTTGTTTAATAAACTTCCGCCGTTTTAGGCAGATTAATGATCTTTTTAAAGATATTTAAATAAATATAAAAACTTTAATTATATATTTCATAGTAGATGCCAGCCAGTGGATCGCGAAAAGTATGATTAAAATGTGCTGGAGCCCCATCATGCAAGAACCAGATGCATCTTCGTATTAGCAGGAGTACATCCTCAAACAGGTTTGGAAGTGTGTTCAAAATTAAGTCCTTGTAGACAGCTCCTGTAAGTCGGGCTGAGAGTAAATGTGTACCTACCAGACTTACTAATTTAAAAGCGAAGGATTTGCGGACATATTTTTATATGGACTTTTGTCCTTGTTTTGATGTGAGGAACGCCCCCAAAGTTTGTAAAAAATATTTTTGATACACTCTCTCTCTCACTCTCTCTCTCTCTTTCTTCTCTCTCTCTCTCTCTCTCTCTCTATATATATATATATATATATATATATATATATATATATATATATAATATTAGTGGTAAATATACATAGAATCCAGGTAGAACTCATTTATATTGATAACAAGAAAATTAAAACAACAATCGGATTCCCATGGTTTTTAACCACAATCAATATTCCCACACACTTATTCACAATTTAAAAAAGGATTACAAGAACCTCCAATTAGACAACAAGATCAAAGACATTTTCGATAAACCACCCATAAATGCAATGAAACAATCACCTAACCTATCAGCTATCCTCACCTCTACCAAATATCTAAACAATAGAAACCAAACAGGAAATTACAAATGTAACAAACCTCGTTGCTTAGTTTGCAAACATTTAATAATAGCTAATACATTTTCCGTACCCAACACCAATATCAGGATACAGCCACCTAACCTCACCTGCGATACCCATAACGTAATCTATTATTTATTCTGCAACTTATGTCCTAATAGTGGATATATTGGTGAGTCTGGAAACAATTTTAGATTTCGTTTTAATAACCATAAACAAACAATACGTCAAAACAACCCTTATTCCCCCATAGCTAAACACTACAATCAATCAGGACACACATTAGAAAACTGCAAATGTTTATTAATAGATTCCGATTTTACTTCCACATTCACACGCAGAAAAAAAGAAACATATTGGATTTTAAAATTAAATACACATAAACTAGGGTTGAACAGGGATTTAGGTGTTTTAAATCTTTATAAATAATTCAATAGTTAAGCAATTTTTTTTTTTTTTTTTTTTTAGATATAGTAAAAAAAAAAAAAAAATTTTAAATATTTATGACAGTTAGATTTAAGTTAGGAATATCCGAACAGTGACGTTCCAAATCACGTGACGTCCGCGTCTCGCGAAGGACGCTACTTGCTAACAAACAGTAATTTTAATTTATTTGTAACAAACAGTTATTTCTGATGAAAAATTGAGGACAATTTGAAATATCAAATATATATATAAATAAATAAATACTTTCATAAAATAAAACATTATAATTTTAATTTGAAACTTTATATATATATATATATATATATATATATATATATATATATATATATATATATATATAACCCTAACCCTGTATATTTAGGAGACACTTTGTATTTGATACTTTTTGACTGAAAATATATTTTTTATCAAATCTTAACGCTCAGTCTTTAAATTATACACTGAAATTATAAACTATACGTTGTAATTATAAATTATACGTTGAAATTATAAATTATACATTGAAAATCAGAAAGAAAAATGATCAATACCAACGCGATCGTTAATGGCTATATTTTTATTTGCTCTATTTTTTTTTTCATACGTTTTACTGCGTTCATTTTATTAATTTTCTCAATAAATAATTAAATATTTTCGTTGCGATCTGTGAATAAAGTGATATTGGCATTGTAAACAAACTTTTGTTGATAAAGTTTCATCAACTTCGCAAAGTACAGAGTGTAAGATGACGGAAATATATTTATTACATACAACGGGGAATATTCACCTGCCACCATTTGATGGCTACCTACGTAAAACCTCACGCACATGCCTGCTTCCGTTCCTGTGTACGAAACCATTTGTTGGAGGTTCTTTTTTTATAAAATATATTTGCTGGTCAAAAAACTACAACCTCATTTTTTTCGAAAAATATATTACCATCAATTATTAATTTTCGACTATTTAATCATTTGTATGACAATGACTTTTAGCTGATCTGTTCATCCATAGCTGTTAAATTAGGTGCAATTTTTGAAAATTTCTGATGCACATTTATTATTAAATTCTTCTTCGTTTTCATGTAGCCGTGTCCTTTCAGGATGTAGGCGACCATGGCTCTTCACAATTTCCTTTCTTTGTAGCTCTTGATAAATATCTTTTCACTATCTCCCTCGTTATCCTCCAAATCATTTACGCAAGCTCGTTAGGTATATAATGGACTGCTTTTCTCTGTCCCTCAGAGTAAAATTTTTCCAAGCCTTCTTTCCTCATAATGTACCCAAGTAATCTCAACTCTATCTTCTTGATGTTACTTATAAGTATCCTTTTTGTGTGCATTTTCTTTAAAAATTCACCATTGCTCATATTGCATGTTCTCATCGAATTATATTTCTGTCACCTCAGATCAGTTTTTCATCTGTGAGGAGATTGTTCAATATTCACTGTCGTATAGGAGGACCGATATTACATAACAGTTAACTGCTCTTTTCTTTGTTCCTCACGATATTTTCCTGTTTGCTTAGATTCGTGAGGGCATATTTTGCTATCCCAGTCCGCCTTCGGACTTCAGTATTGCATTACTGTCTTTTGTTAAAATACTTCCGAGATATCAAAATACAGTAGAATCCCTGACAACCGGACTAAGAAGGCATCCAGATATCCGAAATTGGTTACAAAGTCCGGATATGAGGGGCTTATATTTAGATTCAAATAAAAGAACTGAAATCATGCTTAACATTTATTTTCATTTTTTTATAATAAACAAAATGTTGTGGTAAACCCTCCTACAGTATAATGAACTCTTCCTCTTCTCATAAATACAAACTGCGAGAGTCGGACGGGAGCGTAGAGTGTGGAGTGGAGTAGTAGACGCAGTGCTAATCTCCTTATTACTAACACTATTGTTTTGTATATATCTTCAATATACTTTTTTCAACCTACCTTCATCTTCCATGTCTTTCTTTCTGGCCCCTAAACAGGCCACAACACAAAATAAGCTAATGGTGAGTGAAATATAACGGAATTGAATTTAAAGAAAAAGAAATAAATTATGTAAGGTTAATGAAAATTCATTAAATTAAGTATGACATGTATGCAACACAAATAATGTAACAAGGATTTTTTAATCGCTGTTGCCTGATGATTCTTTCTCTTCTAATGCCATTCTCAACCTTTTCCGCAATTCGTTTTGCTTTTATTCTTGCAATTTTTTAAACGGAAGACAATTTTTCACTCTGCGTGCGTTATTGCAATCGTCATAGTTGAATACTGGCTTTCTTTCCATAAAACTGACAACCTTTTCAATAGCTTTTTAAATTTCAGTTCAGGTTTCATCAGTAATTTTTTTTTTATTTCCTTATTTATTGTGACAGTGTGAACGCTGGAGAATAGTTTGTTTGGAAGATTTTATATCATACAATGTTGACTTTCTTAGTTGAACTCAGCCATTAGTTACAATTAACTTTCACCAACAGTAGTCTGTTTAAAATTTCCACTTCTTATAATAACTCCAAAGTTGTTCTTTTCCTCTTATTCCCATCATCTTTTGTACCAATACAAGCCATTAGGGCGAAATAAGTAATTATCCAAAGTAAATTTCCTGAAAAACAGAAATTTCAAATCAATTACATATCACTTAAATAGTTCAAATATACACATCAAAATCATGTCCGGATATGCGGGATTCCGGATATGCGGAATTCCGGATATGTGGCACTCCAGATATGAGGGATTCTACTGTATGTGTACTTGCTTGATTTGATAGAAAATGGAAAAGCAGAGTTCCAATTCAAGTCAGGTTCGTTATATTCCCCCTTATGTACATATACCTTTGGGAAAGGTATATAACCGTCTTTTCTAAAGCTATAGGCTAATTAATATGACTTGCATCAATAAATCATTTTTACCTCCACAAAATTTTTACAATCAGACAAAGGCTTTCTAAAAAAAAACGTCTGAATGACTACATAGGCTACCTTAATAATGACATTCAAAAAGACGTGTAAGATACGGAACATATTTCCAACAAACGGAATTTTGTTAAAAGCATCGAAAGAAAAACAATATTCAAAAACGAGTCGTTACAGAACATACAAAATAGTAGTAGTCAAAACCTGTGCTGGTAACAATTACAAGAAACTGATAGTGATTTTGAATAGACGCCTTCCAAGAATTTCAGGAAAAAATGTAAAATGACTTTATTCTCCGTTTGTTCACATGTGTCGTACATCTTGTGTATATTAGCAGACTCTATACATTATTTGAAAAATGTGCCTTTGTAATACAGGATGTCCCAAAAGGTATTTAACGTAATACTGTAAAATAAAATAAAGTAAAATAAAATAAAAATTAAAAGAATTTATACTTTAATTAGTTAGACTTGTATCAGTAAATCATTTTTATCTCCAAAAAAATCTTACCATCTATAAATAGTTTCTGACTTAAAATCATCTACTAAAGTTTAAGCCGTAAAAAGGCACAAGTCAATGAATTATTCGATAGTACTATATGTTGTGACATCTTTCTAAATTTGTAAATTTTTAAATCTTGTAATTACTTTGTATTTTCATTTAGCTTTGTTTTCTACCTTCCAAGAGTTCTATAAAAATACTTATTATTGATAGTGTTTCTAATTCAATTCCTTCCACTTTTTTTTTACTGCCATGTTCCGTGTTGTATTCGGAACTTGCCCTATTTTTCCTTCCTTTGTAAAGGGCCCTTATTCTTATATGAATAAAGATTCTGTAATTTACAAATTCAAATGTCAGTGCGCAGCTGAATATATAGGACGAACGTGTCTAATGTTGGAAACTCGGTTCAGTCAGCACATACTTGCATTTATTAGATTAAAGCATCATAATCGCACTCGTGTTCCACAACCTGTGCATGAAGCTACGATTAGACAGTACCTTTTAGAGAATGAACTATGCTCTTCCAAATTTTCTATCAACTCATTCTCTGTTTTGCATAAGGCACGTTCCAACCACCATTTGCAAGTGTTGGAAACTGTACGTATTAAATTACAGCAACCTTCTTTATGTAATCAAAAGGAGAATTTTCTTCAGTCACTTCATTTATTTAGAGGATCGTGAGTATTAATTTCTTTCATATTTTACACTCACGTTGGAGTATTTACGTATATTTTAGTCGCTAATTTCCATATTTTAGACGAAGTCTAAATCTTTCTCCATATTACTTATCTATTCATGCCAATTATGATACAATAATTTTGCCAACGTTGGTCCCTAAAGAAGTGTTGGTTGAAAGGCACCTTGGTTAAAAAAAAGAAAAAAAAGGACACTAAATAGTATTTCTTTAAAACAATCTATGCTGTGGTATTAAACTGCTATATATATATATGTGTGTGTGTGTGTGTGTGTGTGTAAATATAAATAAATATATATATATAATTATTTATATATTATATGTGCGGTACTTATTAGAAAGCGCTCAATATCAGAGAACATATTTGGTTGGATTGATGTGAGTTTGTGACCCTTTTCACGCTTTTGCGATCGTCAGACAAACGTCTGGCGATCGCAAAATCGTGAAACCCAGGGTCACAAACTCACATCAATCCAACTATATATATATATATATATATATATATATATATATATATATATAACCAAATCCATATATACATCTAACCAAATATATATATATATATATATATATATATATATATATATATATAAATATCCAACCAAATCCATATATATATCCAACTAAATATATATATATATATATATATATATATATATACCTTCACAGACCAAAATAAATTAATAAATAAACGATTTGAGCTCATCTCAAAATGCAGACAATTTTACTACGTTACTTAAAACAGAAATGAATAAACACAAATAAACAAAAGTAAAATAAATTAACCCAAACAAATAATAAACAACTCAATAAACTACTCCCGTTAGAATAGACGAAATAGAATAAATAAAAATAAAAAATACAAAAAACAAGTAAAAATAATCAACCCAATTAAATAAATAAAGTAAATAATAATAAACAAATTAAAAAACCAATCCCGCCAAAATAACCGTTAGAATAGATTACAATGACCAATCCGAAAAATTCCACGTAAAAATCGCTTTAACTGCTACATAACGATAAAAAAATACTACGTTACTCAAAAATCCAATACGAAATAGAGTAAATAAAAATATACAAAATAAAAAATAAATAAGTAAAAACAAATAAGAATTAATCCAAATAAATAAATAAATGAACAAATTAAGAAATCGGCCCCGCTAAAATAATCGTTAGAACTTATAAAAATAAGCATAAATAAACAAGTAAAAATTATCAATCCAAATAAATTAATTAATTAAAAAGTGTCCCCCACCAAAATAACAGAATAGACTACGACAAGCAATCTAAGCATTGGACGAATAAATAACTTTAATTATCTTCCCAGACCAAAACATACTATTAAATAAGTGACCTAAGCATACCATCCCAATTGTTTTTTAGTAACTTAAGAAAACATCAAACAACCGAAAACAATAAATAATACTAAAATGAAAAATGTAAAACAAGTAAAATAAATTAACCCAAACAAATAAATGAATAAAAAAACAAACAAGCCACTCCCGTAAAAATTACCACCAGAATAGATTACTCCCAATGCACCACTGACCCATATATATAAATAGTCGAGGAAAGATCCAGCATTCGCGGCCTGACGATTGCGTCTAGCATGAAACAGCATGTCGCCTCTGAGTGTTGATTTCAATGTTCACTTTTATAATTATATTTACATACTCTCTATCTCTGATATTGAGCACTTTATCCCATAAATATAGCACATCTTAAAACTATATATATATATATATATAATTGTCTATTTCCTAAAATATATATATGGATAGAAATTATTAGGAGGATTTGATAATTATATTAAGTAATTCATTGAGTCGAGGCGAGCGGCGCTATATTGAGTCTGATTTGCAATCTCTTCGTCACCGAGGCCCGTTGGAACAGTTTGTATGATGTTTGCTTAACAACCTAACTGTCAGGGTTTCAATTCTCGGTAGTGGATGCGCACTGCTGATGAGTCTCAGATATAGGACGTAACGGCCGTCCAGTGCTTTCTGCATTCTGTTGAGGTTTCTTTCAGACTCAATACTTAATATATATTGATTGGCATCATTTATTGTGAACATTTCTCACTACCATGTTCTCTGCAATCGTCAGTGATGTCATTTTTATGTGCCAGTTTATCGTACATGTAAAATAAAATCTCCACCCTCTCAGCTTTCTTTTCTATTTAGCGTAGATGTGATATTTAATTGTTTAACCAAGACATACCCAGAAGTCTATTTTTAATTCTAACTTTATGTCCCCACCTTTAACTTTCAGAAAAGAGGCAACAATCTATTTTTAAATTTCCGTAACAATAATTTAATCACCCGTTGTTTACAATCGCATGAAGAACTACAGTCAAAATATTGAAAGATGATTGCTTTTGTGTAGCGATTTCAAAACGTCTTATTATAATCTCTTATAATAAAAATGTAATAATAATATATTGGTCTACTTTGTATTGAGCACGTATTTAAAAATAAATGCTACGAACATTGGAATTTTACACCATCTATTCTTTCTCTCATTTGTATATATATATATATATCATAATATTTTTTGTTTAAAAATATGATTCCTTCGCTACATAAGAGTTCTCATGTTTCAAAAACGAGAGCCGAAACGATCCAAATAATTATTAAAATTCCTACAATTTCGCTTGAAGATGAAACAGGAATAAACACCTCAATTCAACTTAATTTTAATAATTAGTTGGATGGTTTCGGCTCTCGTTTTTGAAACATGAGAACTCTTATGTAGCGAAGGAATCATATTTTTAAACAAAAAATATTATTATAATAAAGCTCTACTTCTGTATGGAGCACTGTCTTCTTAAAAATAAAAACAAAAATACTAAGGAACCCCGGATTATGCACCCAACGTGTTCTTTTCTATTTTCTGCATACCTGCGCACTTATATATATATATATATATATATATGTGTGTGTGTGTGTGTGTGTGTGTGTGTGTGTGTGTGTGTGTGTGTGCGTGTGTGTGTGCGTGTGTGTATGTAGTAATTCATTGGTATAATCCAGGTGAGTCCTATTAACACGACAAAGAATTTGAAATATGTTAAAGCTGACTCACAAAAGAGCTCTCCATGTTTATTTTCATTAAACAGAGGACATTTTCTTTACAATTGAATTAAAATACATTTAGTACATGAGCATTTTCATCTACGAATTTCAATATTAAAATTCGTAGGTGATAAATTGTCATATATATATATATATATATATATATATATATATATATATATATATACGATTGTTCATTTCGGTAGTAATCCCTCTTAATACACGCTTTGTTAAAGACAATTCATTTTTCCGATTCATTTTTGATTTTTTGCACAAAATTTCATAGTAGGCTTCCGTTACTCTCTCTCCGTCTCTCCCTCTCTCTCTCTTTCTCTCTCTCACTCTCTCTCTCACTCTCACTCTCTCTCCCCCTCTCTCCTCTCTCCCTCCCCTCTCTCTCAATCTCTCTCCTCTCTCCCCCTCTCTCTCACTCTCACTCTCTCCCTCTCTCTCTCCCCCTCTCTCTCTCTCTCTGGTAGACTGGATTGCAACCAAAGCTATACGATTCAGACTCAGATGTGGAGAGAATATATAGACTCATACTTTTCCTGAGAGTATTTACTTTGAAAGGAACGCAGGTGTAATTCGAACGCTGCTCTTCGTTTCCGAACCGTTATCCGTCGCACCACCCTCACATCCACGCATACAGTATCTGGTTTCCCCAACTGCTCACCCATCTAGGTACTGATCAAGCTTAATATTGTTTAATTTCGGTGATTGGACGAGAACCGGTAATTCAACGTGATATAGACGTAAGTATTTATTATAACTAAATTCCTAAATGGTCAGTAGATTAACTGAAAGCGCTTGGAATCAAAATACAGTTAAACAATTTCTACACATTAAAGTCCAGGGAAGGAACCACTTGTTAGCATAAAATACAATTATAATAAAAAAAAAGATATTGTTTAATAAAACACAAATCAAATCTACCTGTAACTGCAGAGCAAAGCATGAAAGTCCCTTAAATGTCAATTGGTTGCAAAAGAATATAATATACCAAGCCACTGTAAAATATTTTACAAACAGTATATACGCAAAAAGCACAATCCTTTCTAAACATATTCAGGAAATTACAAACAAAACCAAAATACACCAAAAATATGGAAAATAAGGAAAACACCGTAAGTCAAAAAAATTTATCCAAAAACTATAAACTTTGTATGGAAGAGAAAATATCTATAATCCCCTTCACAGACAAATATAAATTACTAAATAAACGATCAGATCGCATCGCAAAATGTAAACACGATGCATGTTTAAAAATAGAAAAGTAAAAACGAGTATATTGCAAAATGCCGTCATGAAAACTGCAAATATATGCACTATATACAACGCAGGAGATGTAATATACTTTAGAAAAAGCCAATACTTAAAATTAAACAAATAGGATAAATTAAGCCCCAAAAATTAAACAAAAATGTTAAATAAACAAATGAATAAACAAATTAAGTAAATAATAAAGATATTAACAAACTACGAATGAATACACAAACGTAAGTAAATGTAATAATAATAATCAGCAACAACTAATATAGCAATCAATAATAAATAATGAGTAAAAAATAATAGACCTCGCTGCCCATAATGGACCATTGACAAGCATATATAAATAGTCGAGTCAACACACAACAAACATGGGATGAGGATTGGTTGGAAGCATGAAACAGACTGTCGCATCTCTGTATTGACTTCAGTCCCCCACCAATATATATATATATATATATATATATATATATATATATATATATATATATTGAAATTGATTTTTAATCTAATGTTATTTCTTTTTACTATAAACATTATATATTGTGGGCCGACATATTTGAGTGGATATACGGGATGAAAAAGATGAAATTATGTCAACCGGCCTAGAAATCGGAATTCTTACTTTAATATATACGAACTTCTTTTAGTAATGTTTCTGATCTCTATAACGTTTATAATAATAAAGAATAAAGAATAATAAAGAAAGAAATGTTGGATGAAAACCCATGAATTGATTCAATTTTACTTTGAATTTCAGGTGAGAAAATATTGCCAAAAGATATAAACATTGAAAGCTCCCAACGATACATGTGTATTTCTTAAATAGATTTACTGAGCCCTGTCGTGTCTTTCCGTAGCTTGACGGCAATCCGAACAGTCGGTAGTGAACTACTGAACGACGACTCCTTGCCGAAGATGTTTTTTTCCTCTCCTTTAGGCAGTTCCCATCATCATCATCATCATCATCAGATCGAGAATTCTACTCGGATTCTCCCCGGTAGATACAGACATTGGTTAGATCCAGTGACTAGACCCCCCAAGAGTTGTGAGTTCAATGCCAGCAGTGTTGAACCAAAAACCTTGGAGAGTTGAGTTAAATCTGGAAGAGGCACGGCACGTGGAACTAGAACAATCTACCCCCCCTCCCCCGGGAGACGAAATAAAGTGTTCGGTTCAAGATTCCAATCCTCCGAAGAAGGCCGGAGCGTACAACGACCGAAACGTTGTCAATATGGCAAGGAAGATGAGGATAATAGTTAGAATAATGCAAATAATGCAAGTAATCATAATACCTCATCTCAGAGAATAGACAGAGAAAGCCTTTCATTTCGAAAAATGACTGTGCAAGATCTCTCTCAGAAAGAAAATAATATGATTAAAACTTTACTGTAGCCACAAAAAATTATTTTTCACAAGATGTTGCTAGTACAAGAATATTCAGACATAAAGAAGACGTTTCATTCTATATTTCTTTTCAGAAAAAAAATCTGTGAATGAAGAAATTTCTTTTTATGTTTAAATGACAGCTATTACGTTAGTGATAAGTAAAATTTAACGTAATTACTATTTAAATCATATTTATTTTTCACTAGCAGTAGAGCCCGGCGTTGCCCGGGGATGTAACAGTAAGAGATAGATCAAGTATTGTCCATCATAAAGACTGAAAAATAAAATTAACAAAGATTATTGTTTAAGGTTGATGGACACGGAAGTCTTAATTAGATTTTTTTTTTGTTTTTTTTTACGAATTGGTCAAACTCAAACAAAAACATTGTTTCCAATCGTTATGAGTCTACCGATTGAATAGAATTTTATTATAAACAATTGTCTTGTAAATGGAATTTTTAAAGTATTCTGAATGTAAAAATAAAGAAAAAGTGTGCAAGACAATAAGTAACACTACCTGCCAAAAAAAAGTGAAGTTTTGTTGAAATCGGTTGAAAATGTAGGAAATCAGATCCCATATATAAACAAACACACACACACACACACACACACACACACACACACACACACACACACAAACTGGGTTTTATAATAAGTATAACTCGATATGAGTTGTCCCCCTTTCATTCCGCGAAAGCGATGCCTCTTAATCGTGTTTTCAAATTGATTTCGTGCAAAAACAATTGTATTTTTCCAATTTCTGGCGCTGTCAGAACCACCGCAAGGTAATTTTACGCAGTCCTGTGAAGTTTTGTTGAAATCGGTCGAAAAATGTAGGAAATCCGATCCAATATATAAACGTACAGACACACACACACAACCTGGGTTTTATAATAAGTAAGATTTATGAGGCATTTTCATCTCGAATATTCTGACACGTGAGACGTTCGAGGACCGAGGTTGTTATGTATATTTATTCTGGGGTCATATACTTAAGTTACGGTGTCACGTTCCTTTTAAAGGAGTGGCTCTTATTAGGGGGATTTCCTGATAAAACCAAATCCCAGGAGTTCATTGATAATGTCATCAAATCCACAGAGAATAAACTGGATGATATCTAAAAGAATCAATCAAGTAAACGCTAGGAAACTTAATTTGAATTGTCTGAGTCCGCCGAATCTGTACCATATTATTTTTCATCTGTGTATTTTGAAAGAACACGGCGAATATGACCATTCTGGACCAATACTCACTACCAATGGCTTTTGAAGTTATCCCTTTAAAATCTTGATTCCAATTCATGTTTTCCTTTGTTTTTGTTTTTTACAAATCAATAATTTTGTACCAAGAAGTTTTGGAAGTGCTTTTCCCTATTCTCATATGAAGAGTACACTGTTACATAGAATACACATGTTAATACAAATGCCAGTCCTGCCACCTCCAGGGAAGGCGAATATTACAGCCTTGATGATGTCATTAAAATTTAGATTTTGTTAATGAAGAAACATCGCGGAATCAATTTTAAAAAATAACTGAATTAATTATCCGAGAAATTATGCAAATTTCAATTATTTGTTTACATTTAAAATTCATTTTTTTTGTTTTTACGCTCGATTTTAAAATTTAAACAACTGGCAAGAATGAAGATTTTATGCTTGAACTCGAATCTTATCCTATGTCAATGAGAATTTTGTCAATTGAGCTGTGAATAAATTTTCCCCCAATTTTGTAAATTAAAATTTCAATAATTTTCTTTTTGTCTATGCTGATCTAAATCTGTGACGACATTTGATTAAAGAGAAAGGCATGTCGCCAATGGCTTTGATTTGAATGCATCATTCCTGTTTGAAGCAAAAGGAATATTTACGGACATATTCATTGGAATGTTGATCGAAAACTTTAGGCTTAGAAAAAAATGGTTACCAGTTTAGTTTTCTCTCTAGGAGTTTCAACTGCTGACTAATCTACTTACGCCATGTCCTCTCAAGTTGTGGACGATTATGACTCTCCACTTTTCCCACATTCTGTGTCCAAAAGTTGTCAAATGTTTCTAACTGATTCTAAGTATAAGTTTTTTTTTTTTTTTTGTTTTCAATTACTTTAAAAAAAATCCCTTGTTGCGCACATTTCCAATCCATATTATTCTCAGCATCATTTCTGTTGTTTTTTACTTTCTGACACATTTTCCGTCATTTATTAAAAACAATTCCCAGATATTTGCTTGAGTTTTGGCATCTCCAATATGTAGCTCACTTTTTGGAATACTTCTACTGCCACCCACCATACCCCAATACATTTAAAAAGTGTTTCTGCATTTAGTTAGTCCTTTCTTAGCGCTTTCCTTTACGGCCTTGAAAAGGAACTATGCATCAACACAGCGCCATCTATGTATCTAAGTTGCTAATTGTTCCCATAGAGATGAAAATTGTAATAATAACTGTTTCTTTATTTGGAGGCATTCGACATTCATTGATCGAACAGCCAGTCCCACAAACCCTTGGATTTATAAAATATTTCTATTAAAATAAATTTTCAGGAAAATAAGTTTCTCAAAATAGGTGTTCCTGAAATGGCTTTATGTAGGAATATTCGTCCAGTTAAGCTAATTTTAATATTCTTCAAATATTGTCTCCAGTTGTCTATAATTTTTTTTAAAAAAATCGATATCGCCCCATGCAAAGCAGTAAAGACACAAGGAGTTCAGGGTGTGAAAGAATTAAGAGCAGAAACATTAATAATGAGCAGAAAGGGGAGATAGTAATCTGGAGGGCAGTAGATATCGATTGACACTGCATTTAAATTCATTATTTATTTGCAGCTTATACTTGGTTGGTAAGCATGAAGCCGGAAGAGATTTCCACACGCGAGAAAAGAAACTGTTAGCATAGAACTTACGGCTACATCTAACCATATAAGTTGTAAATCGATGAAATATTGACGTCTGTCTCGTACAGCTCTTAAATTAAAAAAAAAAGTCCAAGTAACATAGCAAAGAGATTAGAAGCAGAAACATTAATGATTAACAGGAAATAGTAATTAGGCGGACAGTAGATAGCGATTGGCAAGCATTTAAATTTTTATAGATCAAAGATGGCTGGAAAACATGGAGGCGGAAGAGAGTTCTAAAAGTGAAAAAAGAAACTGTTAGCATAGAACTTACGGCTATATCTAGCCAGATTAACTGTAAATTGATGAGATCTCGACGCCAGTCTAGTATAGTTCTTTAATTAAAAAAAAAATGTCTAAGTAACATAGCGAAGAATTAATTGAAATCTGGCTGGATTTATATAACTATTTGTTTACATTCGTTTTTATTTCGATTATTGTTTTGTTAATATTCTAATCAAGGTCTCAATCCTCTCAATTCTGCTAATTATTCAAAGCTAACTGTCGTCCTGCCAAACCACACACCTATACGCCAACCTAATTAACAATCAAATTTATTCAGGCTTACTTCCACGTGATTAATCTGATTCAAGCGCTACACTTGGCCATTTGTCAAATTAGACAGGATTCACAAGCGGTGTTTCACGATGACATGCTTTCTTCATCTTTTGCTTATCTTTCACTCCGGTACTTTTGATTATTTCCTAACTCTTGGATGTCAGAGCCGTTTGCTTATTCGATCGTTAAATTACTTTTGTGTATATCCAGGTTACTTTCATAAGACCGTAAGACCCGTCTATTGGAACAATGAATCTGTTCGTTACCTTGAATGAGACGAGTGACCCATTAATTATCACTGATGTAAATACAGTCTTTCCGTGTTCGGGTGCATCTTGCCCCGACTGTAAAAGATCGCTCAAGGAGACAATTCAAGTTCAAACTATGAAGCCTTTCGCAAACGTGATTAGTCTGCTGCGAGTTAGAGAAGAAAAACACCAGAACGCCTCGTCGGAGAGCCAAACAAACTAGCCTTACCAAGTACTATCTATCCTCACTGGGTACCCAACATTTATAATTTGTCTTAGACAAGGTTATTTAACAACTGGATAGTGGTTATGTCGTCTTGCAAACTTACTCGTTTGCAGTGAGTTTGATTCTTTTTCGTTGCCGAATTTTAATGGGGTTGTGCCAGGCTAGTAATAATCAATATTTTGTTGTCATGGGTTTCAGAAAACTGGTAAAGAACAGTGTGTTTTTAGTGCCAAGTTCTTGGTGCGTCCTTACAGATTTTCTGATCAAGGAGTTTCTCTGATATGTCCCTCGAAAGATGCGCACTCTTCGCTGGGATATGTTAATCAGGTATAATCTAGGAGTACTACTAACGCCTGGAAAAAAGAATATTTTTTTCATTCTAACGTTTACGTAGAACAATGCCCGAGAACCACTCAAGGTAGAGTAAGTATTCGGAATAATGGAATATGTATCAACATGATAATTTTTTTCTCTTCCTGTAATATTAAGTAACATAATATTAATAACATTAATATTAAGTAACTAAGAAGCTTCTCCGTGAATATGAGAGGATCCTATCGAAAATAAGTTAACAAAAATTGTTTAAATTATTCAACGTTACATATATATATAAGACATTTTTTATGTTTATACGTTCTTTTTATGGATACAAATATTTAAGTAAATGCGCTGTTTATAATAAGCAATATTAACAACATTTTCCGGCCTGAATGTCCGAGAAATTTTCATAGAAAATATGCGTCCTTCGACAGGAATCGAACCTGTATCCTATACGGAACCGTCATATATATATATATATATATATATATATATATACCACATCTCTGGAGGTTTTTCAACAGCAGCAACAATGAAAATAGATCAGACCTGTCCCTTGAAGAGAAAATAATGACATAATCAAGATGTTTACATTCCAAACTACTTCAAACAATTGGTTAAGTAGGAACAAAGCTCCCCCACCACCTCAATACTGGAAATAGCGATAACAGATATCACCAACCTGAATAGGTATTACATATAAAGCGAAGAGAAAATAATGACATAATCAAGAAGTTGACGTTCCACACAACTTCAAACAAAAACAAAAAGCATGCATCAATACTGGAAAGAGCTATAACAGTTACTGGACTTGAGAAACTTATTTTACTGAAAAATTGTTTTAATAGAAAGATTTTATAATTTTTTAAACGACTTAGTACTGACGGCTCGATCAATGGATTCAGAATGAGGAAACGGCTAATGTTACTATTATCACTCTTTTGTTCTTTTCTCTGTTCTAACTTTTTATAGTTTTTTTTTTTTTTTCATTCATTCTTGGACTTTTTGTTCCTATTAAGTTTATTTTCTTTTTCATTTAGTCTTATTCGTTTTGCTTTTTCTTTCATATTTCTTTCGTCCTAATATTTTGCACTGATGTTTAATATTTCTTTATTTTTATTTTTCAAATTCCATTTTTTATTCATCTTTGTTGATTTTTTTTCTTATTTTTTTTCCTTCCATTCATTCTATTATACTTTCACTGATAATCTTTCCTTCTTTGGGCTAACGACCATATCACATTGTTTCCAACGTTGACTCTGGTCAGTATCCCGATGGGTGAACACATGGGAATACCACGTGCTGTAAGCTTGGATGTGCGGTTGGTGTAATGGACTATGGTTCAGAATTGTTATTCGGAGAGCCGATTTCCAATTACATTTAGGTCCGTTATATTCACTTCCATTTCAATTTCAACGCCTTCTCCACCAGCTATGTGTTAATTAGTAAGACTAGTATCACTAAATCATTATTATCTCAAAAATATTTTCTGTCTTTAAATAACCAGCAAAGGGTTGATAAGCCGTAAAAATGAATCAATCAATTGCTTTCTTTCTTTACTTTATATTTTCTTCTTTCTTTTTTTTTTTTACATTCTATCCATCTTTTTTTCTTTTCTTTTTTTCTTCCTTTCTTTACATCTCTTATCCCTTCTACTTTCTTTACTGCTTTACGTTTTCTTCTATTTGTTGTTTCAATTCTGCCTTTCGGTCAGATATTATTCACTTCTTTTTTTTTCATTATTTATTCTTCCTCCTTTAATTCTTGCCTCTATTCCTCCCTTTCGTATTTTTTTAAGTCCCTCCCTTTCGTATTTTTTTAAGTCCCTCCCTTTCGTATTTTTAAGTCCCTCCCTTTCGTACTTTTTTAAGTCCCCCCCTTTCGTATTTTTTTAAGTCCCTTCCTTTCGTATTTTTTAAGTCCCCCCCCTTTCGTATTTTTTAAGTCCCTTCCTTTCGTATTTTTTTTAAGTCCCTTCCTTCAACTCTTTTTTCCCCTTATTTACTTTCCGTCCTTCTGTCTTTTTATGTCACTTCCTTTAAATATTTCTTTTCTTTTCCACCTCTTCGTTTCCTTCCTTATATCTTTTTAAGGCCTTTCCTTCAAATCTTTTTCTTTACTTTCTTTCCACCCTTCAGTTTTTTTTAAGCCCCTTTCTCTTTTTTTAAATTTTTCCTTTCCTTCCTTACGTCTTTTTCACCTCTTTCGTTCCACCCTTTCTTCTGTTTTATCCCTTTCTTTTCTTCTTTATGGCTTTGTAAGCCCCCTTCCGTCAACTTTTCTTTCTTTTTCTTTCTTTCTTTTCTTCCTTTTGGTTTTTAAACTCTTTCCTCCAACTCTTTTTCCTTTTCTTTCATTGCTTCCATCTGTTTTTTTTTAAACCCCTTCATTCCACTCTTTTTTTTTCTGTTTTATCACTTTCTTTACTTTCTTATGTCTTTTTATCCATCTTCCTTCCAATATTTTCTCTTTTTCCTTTAATTCTTTCCAATCTTGAGTCTTTTTAAACTCCTACCGCCAACTCTTTTTCTTTTTCATCGCTTTCTTTCCTTTAATTTGTCTTTCTAAGTTCCTTTTCTCCAATTCTTTTTCCTTTTCCTTTCTTCCTTCCCTTCCTTCTGTTTTAAGCCCCCTCCTACAATTCTTTTTCTTTTTTCATTTCTTTCTTTCCTTCTTTCTGTCTTTTTAAGCAACTTCCTCCATCTCTTTTTTTCTTTCTTTCTTTCCTTCCTTTTTTTTTCAGTCCCTTCCTTGCTCTCTTTTTTTATTTTTTTTCTTTCTTTCTAATACTCTGTTTTCTGTAGAGTGTGTTGTCTGATGGGTCGAGCGCTACTTGCATTGAATCAGGATATGATTTCATGCAATGTTGTTCTTCATTGCAGTGTTAACATCTTTGTCAGTTTGTCTCGTTGTTACGTCATTCGTTTATTTCTCTACTTTTCAGTCGTCGATGATATCGATCCAGAATTCCTCTATTACTAGCATGGCTTTGTTATCATTGCCCCTAAAAATGATGTCGCTCTTGACAAGCCGGAATACAAAATGAACCATATTTCTAGAATGGTTACCCATGGAATATAATCATCATAACTTATTGTTGTCTTCTCCAAAATCATCTGATTGAAGGAAAGGTCTTTTGTCGGCATAGAAAATGGATTCACACTAAACAAAGTAACCTATAAAAGAGTGTAGAATTAGAGCCAACTTTTTCTGTAAGTATATTTCTCTTAACAGGTGCTAGGATTTTGCTCTTATTGTTTTTTGGGGTTTTGGGTTTTTTTTTTTTTGTTTTTTACAGTGATGTTCACTCTGTAGAAGGCACAAGAACCACTGGAATTAACGTTATATGAAGCTGTATAAAAGAAAAAGATATAGACCTTTTTTTGCATTTCTTTCTTTACGCAAATGATGGAGGAAGCAACAAGACTTCTTTCCCCAAGCGAACCGAAATTTTAGTCTCTATCGAACCAAATGGCACGCAGCCAAACCCTTGTATTCTTTAATCGTTTCCTCATTTATACTGTTCATACTTACAGAACAGTATACATATATATATATATATATATATATATATATATATATATATATATATATATATTATTATATATATATGATTTTGTTACTTAAAATTGGATTTTCATTGTTTTTTCTTAGAATGATTATTTGTTGTTTTCCTTTTCTGAAACCTTTTTTTCCTTTAAAGGGTTCCGCTTATATTTTCCAAAATTGTTTTAACAATTTCTCTCTCAACCTATTGATGCTTATGTTTTGTACCAATGAAAAAAATGAAAATCGCAGGGCGTAACTTGTTATATGGTTATGATAAAGTGAATTTGATAGAATCTATTTATACAATGAATTAACGATGAGTTTGAAATTGTTAATGAAAAATGTTTCCTTATTAATCCGCCTTTGTTCAGTGCTTCTGTAGTCGCATTAATAGAATGGGAAGACACTAAAATTTGGCTGATCTTTTCCTCCTCGTTCCTCTATATGATGACAAAGGGGTATTTTTTCTGATTTGGGGGCCCCTAATTTGTTGGCTATGGACTGTCATCCTTTGCCGGAGTGACTGGCCCGTTTGGCCAATGTAATGCTCGTGATAACGTTTGCATATAACTATGTATATTAAATTTTCTGGGTCGCACGAAAAATCATGTTCAATTTTGAATTTTGCACCGTATTTGATCTGAACTTCCCGGCCTTCTAATAGGTAGTTGCATACCCTGCAAAGTGGTCGGTTGCATTTTTTCATCTGAGGGTCTTTAATTGTGTCCAGCAGTTTTGCCCTCGTCAGTACCTTTTTTAGTTATTTAGGTTGTCGTTTACTTTTTATGATTGGATATTTTTGTAATAGGATTGTCCTTTAGTAGGATTGGTAGATTTAGTTGTATGTCTATGTAGATATCTGCGTTCTTTGGGTTGAAAGTTAAGATATAAGGGGTGACCTTTTTTTCCCTTTTGTTTCTAGGATTGTGCATCGAAAAAGCAAAACGAATTAACATCCACACAATCCTAGAAACAAAAAGAAAAAAAAGGTCACCTCCTTATATCTCAACTTTCAACCCAAAGAACGCAGATATCTACACAGACATACAACTAAATCTACCAATCCTAGTAAAGGACAAAAAAATGGAAAATCCGATTACAAAAATATCCAATCATAAAAAGTAAACGACAACCTAAATAACTAAAAAAGATACTGACGAGGGCAAAACTGCTGGACACAATTAAAGACCCTCAGATGAAAAAATGCAACCGACCACTTTGCAGGGTATGCAACTACCTATTAGAAGGCCGGGAAGTTCAGATCAAATACGGATCAAAATTCAAAATTGAACATGATTTTTCGTGCGACTCAGAGAATTTAATATCCATAATTACATGCAAGGGTTGCTACGAATATTACATTAGCCAAACGGGCCAGTCACGCCGGCAAAGGATGACAGTCCATAGCCAACAAATTAGGGACCCCCAGACTAGAAAAATACCCGTTGGCCAACATATAGAGGAATGCAGAGTACAAAATCTGCCAAATTTTAGTGTCTTCCCATTCTATTAATGCGACTACACAAGCACTGAAGAAAGGTGTTATTAATAGGGAAACATTTTTCATCAACAATTTCAAACCCATACTTAATTCATTGCATAAATAGATTCTACCAAATTCCCCTTACCATAAACGATATATATAGCAAGTTACGCCCTGCGATTTTCATTTTTTTCTTTGGTACAAAATATAAGCATCACTACGTGGAGAGAGGAAAAGTTAAAACCTTTTTGAAAATCTAAGCGAAACCAGTTAAAGTAAAAAGAAATGTCACAGAGAAACAATTTATACAAATTATATTTAATTCTTTGTATGAATTGTTTCTTCATGATATAACGTATAAGCTGCACATTCACGACATCAGATTCCGAGTACAGTAATAAACAGAATCTTAAATTCTGTGGAAAACTACTAAGACATTTTTAGTCTACTATTTGGATTATACTAAGTCCATTTCACTTTAACAGAAAAAATACATGCAACAAGAAAAATTCGTGGATTTATATCTTTTCAAAATTCAAAAAAAAAATCTCACTTCATCGATTTAAACAAGAACACTAACGTCGCGGTATCGCATGGTCTAAAACATATTCAACTGTCAATAAATAGCAAAAAAAAAAGATCTAAAACAAACATCTTTCAGTCTGCACATATTTTGTGTTAGCGTTTGTCTATCTATGGGAAAAATTGCGCCCTGAAGACAATTTAATAATGTCGAAAGTACTTGGCAGGTGTCTTCCATCTGACAACAACACGAATATAAGGATCTTATTATGTAAGGAATTCATAGTAAGTTAATGTCTCATTCAGCCATGTTAGCGAAGTGACTTCGCCATTATTTACATTAACATTGCTATTAAATCTTTGTATAAATTGTTTCTTCATGATATAAAATATAAGCTGCACACTCTTATATTTATGTATATATATATATATATATATATATATATATATATATATATATATATATATATTAATTAGTGGTAAATATGGAATTTGTAGGTCTGAGGAATTGGATCGTATTTACGATTCCAATGGAATAAATTATGCCCAAGGAATATTAGTGTTTTAAGCCTTTTTATTATATATATATATATATATATATATATATATATATATATATATATATATATATACAAGCATCCTTCGATTAATGTTTTTTCGATTAGTGTTTTAAATTTTATACACTAAAGTTCGCATAGTGCATAAATAATACTCGATTAGTGCGGTAAAACATCATTATAACCACTGTAATTTTAACCCTAGTAATTGAAAACAATCACCAGCACTATTTGACAGATTACTGTAAATATATAAATTGTAACGCCAAAAGTGTCCAATTTCTGACAACAATGCAACACACGTGAAACAAATAACAATAAAAACAACAGAATTCCAGGGAAAAGTCCCACTTAATTGTTTTGTTCTCATCTGGACGATGAAGGACACAGGCGTGTCCGGAAATCTTTAAAATCTTTCTCACCGTGCATTCGTTTAATCAATCGGCCTACTAATATAAAATAAAAAAAACATAAGTTTTATTGACAATATTTTTATCATTTTGCTGTCTTTTTATTCCTCGAATTCCATTAAACGGCCAATCATTGATATATATATATATATATATATATATATATATATATATATATATATATATATATATATATATTTTTTAAAAAAAATGCGTATAAATGTATATAAGCGAAACAAACATAATATATTTGTCAAATAAATATATCCTGAATATTTTACCACCATTGGTTAATAGGAATTCTATTGAAAAAGATTTATAAAATCTGATCGTATATATATATATATATATATATATATATATATATATATATATATATATATATATGAGAAATTTATTTTATTTTCGATTTTCTTCATTGATTAGAAAAGTGTCTGGAGAAAAAGTCAATGATCGCTAAGTTGACCTTGAGTGTCGTCCTTCAGAAGAACTTACAAATTTTCTATCTATTGCGTCAACAATAAAAAAAAAAAAAAGAATACGGGCCTTATCTTAAATCGAGAAAAAACTACAAAGATAGTGTGAGGGTGGATTAACGGCAAACAAATAACAAAAAGAAAGATGGTGATGATAAACCTATTGCTTGCAAAAACAAATAAAATCACACCACATGTAAGTACACATACGCACGCATAATAATAATAATAATAATAATATTATAATAATAATGATAATAATAATAATAAATTGGAAGATAACTATTAAAATACGTATATTTTTTAGAATCTAACTCATTTTCTTCGCCGATATATAATAATGACACATAAATATTTAGATCGACAATATTCATTGACTCTATAGACGTTAATGCACGTATCTCATTTGACCGACACTCATCCAGGTAAGCTGCGAAAAAGTCTAGCGTCGGTTTAATGTGATAATCTATAGAAGTTTTATTGATTTAATCAATATATATATATATATATATATATATATATATATATATATATAACTGCAACTACAGAACCACTGTACAAATATATATATATATATATATATATATATATATATATAATACATGTAATCGATCCGTTGGTATATAATCCGGGTGGATCCTAGAAATTTTAGTTATTCAAACTGATCTACAGATACGCTCTCGTTATTCGATCGAGCACTATAGAGAATGGTAGTTGCTGCTGCCATTAACGCACAACTCTCCATAATGTATTGAGCTCTCTAGTTGCTGTCGTGTATGTATATATCTGT